GTCAAGGATTTCAGAGAAACAAGGTCGAGAATTAAAAATGAAACCGTACAAGAGTGGCAAAATCGGTGGACGTCAGGACAGACGGGCAGATGGTCGGCGCGTCTGATTCCGGACATTAGCGTCTGGCTCTCTCGACAATACGGGGACACAGATTTTTCTATAACCCAGCTACTGACAGGACATGGACAGTTTAATGCCTATCTTTTTAAGATGGGATGCATAGCACGCCAATGTGCAAATACTGTCCAGATAAAATAGACGACACTGAGCACACGTTCTTTGAATGTGCTAGGTGGAAGGATTATCGAAACAACGCACATTATAGGCACCAGGCTTACCCCCTCAAGTCTTGTGACCTACATGATGAAACAAGAAGAAAACTGGTCAGCTGTAGCAGCTTATGCATAGCATCTTTTGAAGGCTACAACCGGAGAAAGGGAGTAGTCGTAAACAGGCGTCGCAAGGCGCAGCACGGACTGGATTGATGTAACGCTAACGCTGTTCCAATCCAGTCCTCCCCGTACCAACTGCGGGGAGAGGGGAGAGGAGTGTTTTTTTTAGTGGGTAAAAATCTCCACACGGCCGTCCATCTTTGTCTGCTGTAGGATGGACAGCGGAGTATCAACGATGGCGGTGTCTTATGAAGATTTTTTTTTCGCACCTCTAAAAAAAAAAACACATACACGCACACACACACACATGCATCCATTTTTTCTAAGGTATGCCAAAATATTCAGAAACCTTTGAAACGTAAAGATATATAAAAATTTTCGTTTTCGATTTTTTTGCGATTACTATCTGTATTTATAAATAGAATTAAAAAGTGAATAATATTGTTTTTTTCATGTAGGCATTCGATTTATGGTCGCAATATGTTTGAGCTTGTAAAGACCTTATTTGCTGGCTATTAAGAAATATTTTTTTGCACTTTTTGAGATAATAAAAGAAAATTTAATAATAATAATATATATAGTGAGCTAACAAAAAAAAATGATGTAGACTGGACATCATTAGCCGGGAGATGTAAAATTAAACATTATAAAATGTTGCCAATGTTATAAACATTTACATTTACTTTACTTTATTTAAGTTTTCGCTTACATTATGTTATTATTATTATTTTAAAAGCAATTAACCGAGTTAAGTAATACATGTTTTCCTTATATACATTTTTTAATTAGTAAGTGAATACAAGTAGCATGTATTTTCACTTTAAATGTTTATTAATAAACTTTAGTACAGTAAAGTTTTATTATTTAAAAAAAAAACGATATAGGATAAATCATATGCTCTTCTTTAATCTATGGGGTAAATAATGAGTCCATAGGTAAGGAAATGAAGCCCTAGGGGTCCACGACACAAAAAGTTGGGACACTAGTCAAAACTAAATAGTAACTAGTTAATATTTTGTGCCTTAATAAGTTTAGCTTAGGCTAAAATAATTGTATTATATGTAATATTTTAGAATTTTATTCGCATATAAAATATAAATATGAATATGAAATAATTATAAATATTATATATATTATTATTATGTATACACAATAAAATATATATACTACTTTGGCAATTTGGATTTATTTCTGTTCGCCTTTAATGTTTTCACTTGATTTACTTGTGAGGCAAATCTTAATGAATTTATAGACTCCGAATAATTGGCAGATAGAGGATTTACATTCACAAACATCAATGTTTTTGAATTGCCACCCAGTGACGGCATGAGCAAGTATGTCAATTTTGAACTTCTATATGGTATATGTGACTGTTTTTGTTGCAGCGATAATATGACCTGAAAAAACAAATAGTTTTGAGTAGTAATGAAATTATGATTTATAATTAAATATAGTTAATATATATATTACATATTGAAGCAAGTAAATTAAATTTGCAATATATAAAAAAATAAACACTACTAGTTGATTCAGTAACACTTTCAAACTAATACTCAATATATAACTTCATTATAATTTAATCTCTTAAGCATATGTATTCCAAATGCAATAGTTTAATAATAATTACTAATAATTGATAATTTCTTAATTGGTCATTACCTTTCCAAGTTGTGCTAAAGATTTATTAATGTTCTTGGTCTCATCCATTCTTACTGAAGTCTTTGGACTCTCTGATCCTGCCAAATCAACCAAATTAAGAACACCAGTGAAACTTTCACACCGGTAGCTGGATCTGATGAAGATATAATGATCTTTGAAACAGAATGAGATCTAGAAGATCTTTCATTGGATTCTGTCTGAGCAGTTGCTCTATTCTGTTGAGCCCTTCTTAAAAGGTCTTTCAATTCATTTTGGCTTTCAACAATAATCTCAGTCAAATTTGTAACATAAACAATATTTTTTTCTAGAGAACTAGCAAGACGTATATCCAGATCTCTGTTGGACAAATCGAGTAGGTCATGTATTTGCTCGTTGTAGATCTCTAAAAATGATGAGCTAATTTGAAAAGACCATCCTACACATTTCAGATCAGAAACTTTTTTAAATATAAATTCGATACATCTTGGAATTAAACCCATATTGTGTTCAGAACCCTCCATAGTGTATGTTTTACCTGTAAATATAAAATAGTAAATTTCATTGCATTTATAATATTATATACTATATTGATATTTGAATTTTATCTAAGTTAAAAGCTATACAATGATTATATTATCTGATGTACAAGTAAGTGCAATTTTTACTTTTGACCATCATTTCTTAACTGTCTGTTTCCATTGAAAACATCTGTAATTCATTTTAAATGATTCATAGAAAATAATGATCTGGTGAATCAATCATAGCATTGATTTCTTTAATAAACATATTGGCAAAAATATTTAGTCAACAAAAGTCTTGTGAAGATTAAAAACCTGTTGTTCATATATTTTTTATAAGAAGTTTTTTATAAAAAGACTACACAATATACTAAATGTATCATCATCTAGCAGTTCATACCAGCAAAAAAAAAAAAGTTGACATATCTCTATACATTATTAATTGCTGATAGTGGAATTCTTAAAAGTCGCTATTAAATACTGCTTCAAAAAAATTTTTATTTTTAATATTTATTGTTAATTAAGAAAACAAATCAATTATAGGTTTCAAGATGTTTATATTTATATTTATTTATTTATTTAAATATTGTATGAAAGATTAAGTTAATAAATTATAGTACATGATATTGTGCTACACAATGAGCGTTATTCCTGCATGGTAATTTTTTTAATTAAGTTGTGAATACAATTCGTAATTTTTTTGCAGATTTATGGTTGTTTGCAGATTTATGGTTTATCATTTAGTATATTTATATTCACAAAATTAATATAATAATATATATACTAATTAAATTTTTAAATTAAATTATTTTAAAATTATTGAATTATTTATTAAATTTTAAATTAAATTAAATTATTAATTAATTAATATATATATATATATATATATATATATATTTATATATCATATATAAAATTCTTCTGTATGGGTGTATGATTTGATACTTCTCCTAAATGGTTATTCTAATGGATTTTGATAATTCTTTTTAGAGTTTGTCAAAGAAAATTTTTAAGATTTAATGAACGTTAAATCTATAGTAATATTGTAGAAATAAATGGCAAAAATTACAAAAAAACACTTATCATTGTTTGACATTGAAAACATTTGAGTTGGCATTTGCTAGAAATGTCAACTAACTTGAAATTTGAATTTAGCTAAAATTATGAGCTTATATAATATTAGAATGTAATATACAAGAAAAATGTAATGTCTACATTATAATTGCCGAAAACAGCTGAGATGTAGCAGAAATTAAAATAATATAAGATACAGTCAACAGTATATATGTTTGGCAGATAAATTATATAATTTAATGCCGCATTTTGGTTTACTTTACTAAATTATTTAAAATACACAAAAATATTTCTACTTATTAAAAAAATTATTTAGAATTTTGCTTCATGTGTCAAAAATTCATTTGTTGGCATTGTACATGGAATATTTAGCAAGTTTTACAAATTAATTCGCCTAAGATTTGAACATAAACAATAATTATTATTAAATTATTAGTAAAAAATGTAAAAATTATAGAATAATTATTGAAGTAATTATGTTGTGTGGTAGAATTAAGTGGGATATTGTTCTTTTACCGCAAATACTTTGATATTTTTTCCTGAATTTCTTATACTGCTTATGCTAAGACCATAAATGAATCACAAAGGCAGAACATCAAATAGAATATTAAAAAGTATAGTAGAGATTTGAATTGTAGACGTTGATACAGGACAATGTCTGTCTGGTCAACTAGTATATATATATATATATATATATATATATATATATAATGATACTTACCACTACCAGTCTGCCCATATGCAAAAATGCAGACATTGTAGCCATCTAAAACAGACTGCACAAGTCCCTCAACTTCTTCAAAGACATTCTCCTGTGAGGCACACGGAGCAAAAACTTTATCAAATGCAAAATTGTGTTTTGTTGGCGTAGCTGCTCCATTGAAGGAACTTGTATGCTCGCAACTCTTGGCTACATTTAAAGAACAATCATCAGAAAAGCTCCAGTCACATAATTCTTCATCTCTCTCGACAGGAAGAGGTGGCCTGATTCTGCAGAATACCCTAATATTGCCTTTCAAGTCCAAAATTTGGTTATTTAAATTTTTCCTTTGTACATGAGCTAATTGCAGTAAGATTTCATATTCTTTCACAGAAGTCTCGAGAGAAATCACTTTGGCATTAAGGGTTCCAACTTTAGTTTCTAAGTCTTTATTTTCATTTGTTAAATGTTTTACATTGTCTAGATATTCTAAGTTTTTACTTTCAGTTTCTTTCAGCAATTGACAAGTATCTGAATATTTTTGAGAAAGTATTGAATTTTGAATTTCAAGATTATTATATTTTGATGTAACCTCAGAGGAAGTCGTCTGCAACTGTTTATGCTCCTGAATCAGTTTATCATGTGCTGAGGTTATTCCCTCTAATTGTGATTTTAAATTTACAATATCATGCTTAATGGTTAAATTTTCTTTTTCCAAAGTAATTATCTTATTCTCATTAACCGAATGTTTTTCTTTTAAAGCATTATGTTTGCCTAAAAGATCATTATATCTAGCTTTAAAATCATATGGAGGTATCTTTACTTTAGCTTGCTTTGGAGCAGAAGATGATGGATTTGGTGCTAGCTCCGAAGATGCAGCTCTTTTTGATGGCAATGACGGCTTAACCACTGGTGTTGGCTTTTTGAAAGGAACGTTTTCTTTTGATGCCGATTTTAATGAAGAAAATGATTTACTTCTTCTCATTAAATTACGATTAGGCAAAATACGTCTGGCGCTAGTACTAGTAAGATTCTGAAAAAATCACAGCATTTTAAGAATATACATTAAATACCACAGTCATAGTGCTGATACATATTTAATAAGAAGACATGCAAATTTTCAACATGGGACTACTGTTTAGTTTTCACAGTTAGTTTAGTTAGTAAAAAGCAAATGACTTTCATCATATTGGTTGCTAAAATCATTATCGATAACACTTGCATTCATTGCAAGAATTCAATGTAAATAGAATGAGATATAAAATCTCTGTAAACTAAGATTCACTAGTAAGGGTATCTATATTTTTGTTATGATGCATTATCTCAAAAGAATTTATATTACAAAATAATATACTATGATGCTTACAGTTGCCTGTCTAGTAAGAGTTGGTACTGCATTTTTCGTATTTGAATTGGATGTTGTACTTGTGAAAGCACTGTAAGATTTAGGTTGGACAAGTACCCTTTTAGAAGCTGGAGTTACTTTGGGTATTCTGCTATCACTCATTTTTAATATATAATTTAATAAAATATTAAAGTTAAATACCACTATTATGTAAACAGCTTAAAATATTAATAGAATAACAATAGTAAATTAGAAAATTAATTAAAATCTGTACAAATTAAAACCTTTAAAATCTTTAGTGAAGACGTAAAACAGTAATAAAAAAAAAACTTTATATCTCCTGT